TAGCCATTTGAGTAATTTATGTTGCTATTAAAACTCAATTTAAATAACATTTATTGGATAATTAAGTTAAGGCCTTTGAATTAAGTGCTCGAACATTATTTGTTTGCCAAGATTTAGACATCATTAAAGCCGTTGGGCGTAAAGGGCAATTAGCTCAATATTTTTTGTTTTCGAGCACTACGATAATTATTAAAGAATTTAAAGTTGAGTCCGAACACAGTTTCGGAGATATGAGCGTATTTGTAGGAGTTTTTAAACTAAGTGTAATCGGCTACCAAAACTTTAAATGCGTTTTTATCGAAACGCTGTTTTCACAGTCGGTGAGGCTTCCTAGATATATTTGTCAGCTAATGATTGAAGGATTAAGATTTTCCATATTAATTTCGATTTTTTAAATCAATGTAAGTGCTGCGCCCATAACTGTTGGGTCTCAAAGGTTATCAAAACTATTTTAAGCTTTAGTTAGCGGCTTTGTAAAATCACAAAAATCTTTACTCTCTTCCGATCATCATAACCATAACCTCAACATAACTTATTTATAATTTATCAATTATGCAATCAAGCAAATCAACTTATTTCACTTTATCTTTTCTTCTTAATCACTCTCATTTTATGTAGAAAACTGCATTTAATTTTTGCTTTCAAACTGTAATCATTTAAATTCCACTGAACATTTTGCGGCATTGGGAACTCCGAAAAATATTCCAAAATACAATACCGTAATTTTCATTTAATTGCTTTCGTACGATTCTTGCCACAAATCACATTAATATTTATCGGGGCATTCTGCACGTATTCACATTCACGTAGGAAGGAGAAGACTGCATGCTTGCGTATTTTGTTGAATTTATGTTAGAATGTATGAGAGTAAGCTCAGAGTAAATGATTGTCAGTGCAACATGGCATGACAAATAAATTTTCAACAAATACCGAAAGTAACGAAACGCAATTTGTAACCGAATTATGTGCACACACACATACATACTCGCATTCGCCAAATTACGTATACGAACTGAGGTCGGCACAGATCAACAATAACAATTTCCTGTCAGCTATGAATTTCTCGGTTTGTCGGAATGCACACAAAATTTTCGATTATTATTACAGAAGCACATTCCATATAATTTAGTTGACGAAACATACAATTAGTTTTAGAAGTCCACAAACGAACATTTGGCAGAAAATCAGCCTTATATTTATAAGCTAGCATACTAACTAAAGTTGACGGCTTTAATATCTACATATACGAGTATATTTAGGTAAATTGGTTTCATACATATTATATATGCTTAAGTTAATAGGGGTGTAGCATAAGTGCAAGAGCATATTAAATATCATTACTTCTCAAAATACTACTATATTATTGTAATAAATTAAGAAAAAAGCTGTCCATAATATTAATTAAGTATTTTAAATAGCTTTACAGAAATGAAACAAGATTTTTCTAAATGCAAAAATGGTTTTTTTTTCATGCCCAAAATTTTGTATCGAATTCACAAGCATCCGACAAGAAGTCCTCGCACAAACCCATTCAGCTACAGCAAGCATTTCTGAGTCTGTAATCTTTTCAGTCCAACCGCAGCAATATACATACATATAAATAAGTAGTTATATACAACCGAGTACATGTATACTTGTACGTAAGTAAACAAGCTGCGAACCTTTCATCGCGAAATGAGCAATAATTCTTTGGGGAAATAAGAACATGAAAATTATTGCCAAAAAGGTTATAAATATGCATAGAGCACGTGCCAATTGGATACTAACAATGACTCGCAATGGAAGCAATATTTATAGCTACACTTATAAGGTTTAAATGGAAACCAATATAAGCCATTATCCTTAGCATTTTAATTGAAAATGTGAAGAGAGGTACAAATTCATTTACAAAGATGAAATAAGTTGCTATAATATACGAGGATTCTTGCTGTAATTATATATTCAATATATTAACATATATTTTGCTCTAAAATTAAAATTGCCTTTAACTTAAATGTAGCAAAATTTATGGTTTTGAAATTATATTTTATTCAAAAAATTTCTGAGATTTATTTTATAATTTTATAAATAAATCTGTAGTGTAATATACAGTATTATTTATGTTATTTTTTAATTTTAATGGCTTACTAAAGCATTGGCAGTAGGCAAATTATAGTTACATATTATACAAAACTTTACACGAACTTACAAAAAAAAAACATTTTCAGGTATTTTAATAGAAATCTTAAGTATCGTCTTAAGAGTCTCTTAAGAGTCTCTTAAGCCCATAAAAGCATGCCAACGCATAATGCAATTTTCCAATGCAATAAGTCTCGGCTGCGATGGCTTTCAGCGTCTTCAACGCATTTTAGTTTATTCGATTTCAGCTCATTTTTATAACGCCATTCGTTAGATTTTTGGACAGTTTCGACGTCATATTCATAAAGCCACGTCTCGTCACCTATAACAATGCGTTAAGTAAATGAAGAGTTTTTAGCTACGTTGTCCAAGCATCTCATTAGCAGCATCTACTCAACGCTGTTTTTACAAAATATTCAGGTCTTTTGATACGAGTCTAGCATTAACACTCTTCATACCCAAAATACTAACCAAAATGTGTTGATTCGATCTTGACGACGATTTTCAAGCACTGTATCTTTAACTTTTTCTATGTTATCGTCATTAACAGAGGACTCACTTGAGACAAGTTTTCGATGACTTCATGACCTTAAATTATTGAATTGTGCCACTTAAATACTTGTGTTTGTGATAGAGTAGACTCCATAAAGCACTTTTTCGACATTTTCAGCGATTGTAAACTTAAAATTTCAAGCAAACTCATTTTTAAAAATTTTTCCATGCTAAAAGTTGCCAGACAAATCTTTCGTGTCATAAACAAACATGTTGCCTACATTTTGGCGGAATCACATAAAAGTATTAGCACTCAGTCTAAAGAATGGTGACAAATGGATGTAAATATGTCTTATGTCTTAATTAAAATTTAAATATACTGACTAGTTCCCCAAATTATACCTCAGCAGGATATATTAAGTTTGCTACATAGTTTGTTACACCCAGAAAAAAACATTGGAGACCCTATAAAATATATATATAAATGATCAGTGACGTGATGAGCTGAGTTAATTTAGCTATGTCCCTTTCTCTGTTCATCTGTATATATACGAACTAGTCCATCAGTTTTTGAGATTTTCTCACCAAGAAGTTGCTTTGTCAGAACGGCCGATATCAGATATAGCATATAGCTGTCATACAAACTGAAAGATCAGAATAAAGTGATTGAATGGAAAGCTTCGTCAATTGACGAAATATATTCATGAAATTCGGCATAGATTATTGTTCAAGGCTGTGATGGAATCTCCGAAGAAATTATTCAGATCGAGTCACTACAGCATATATCTGCCATACAAACTGAACGATCAAAGTTCTTGTAAGGGATATTTTGTATTTGTGAAGGGTGTTATAGCTTCGCTGCAACCGAAGTTAACGTTTTTACTTGCTTTAACCTAAACCCATATTTTCGTACAGAAAGTTTCTATCTTAATAAAATAGTGACCAACTTGGACTTAAGCCGATTTAATCTACTTTAACAAATTGTCCCAAATATATTATATATATATAAGTGAAAGGTTTTGGGTAAAACTAAATAGTTAGAACTTGTGACAAAGTATTAAATGAGAAGTATGAAAAATAAATATATAACTTGGATACCTGGTGTTCTTTTTGAGGAACAAATAGTCATTCATACGCTTTCAACGTTGCTTTATCGAACAACTTAGCAAATTTCGTTTATCCAATCATTTTTAAAACAGCTATTTTATAAATGACTTATATGAGACTTAAAATACATACATGAAACAATTTGGAGCTAAGAAAAGATTATAAAGCTTATAATTTTCACCACTCTGACACCCCTTATACCAACCTCTTTGTTCCTTATTGCACTCATTATTATTCATTTTATGAAATGAACAATGTCCATAAGTTGTAGCTTAAGATCAAGACTCCATAGAAAATAGTATCAATTATAACCAAATAAGTTGTATTGAAATCTGCCTAGCATATTTTTATAAGAATTTTCAGCACACTTGCAAGAATATGTTAAGAAAATATTTTCTAAAAAGTATCTTTATGCCAGTTCTTCCATTTTTTATAAGCAAATGTTAAAAAAAAATACTCAACCCACTGAAATTTTGCTAAAACGTATTTAATCCCAACCGCAACCAAATTAGAAGGCCTTTCACAAGAACTAAATTTTCTTAATTTACCCTGAATAGAATATATTAAGTTTGTCGCGAAGTTTGTAACCTTCTGAGGAAAATAGAGATATTTGTTTATGTTGTTTTCACCTCAGCTCTACACGTCTTTCCTATTTTAGCTAGTATTTCTTTGCCGCTCGCTTACATAAAAATATTAGAGAGTTTCAACCACTGCAATGCAAAAAGTCAATAAAAAACCCTCACGAAAATTTCTGTTAAACAATCAGACACATCCTCGCCCAAAAATAGAAGGGAAGTTGTGTATATTAGGCAACTGCATTTAAATCCTTTATTAGAGGATCAAACGAAATACATAATCACGTTGTCCAGCGAGAAATATGCTTACTACTAATTGCTGATCTTAATCTTATAATCTTATTGTACATAGCCATAACTCAATTGGTTTATGTGTAGCTAAATATAGCAATACACCACTATACAGATGCCTCGAAAGGATATTCAAAGGAAAAGCACACACACTGCCAGACATGACAGCTTCAAAGCCTATTAAATTGCAAACATAAAAAGTAGAAATATACATAAAAAATACAGCCGATATAACAATAACAATTGCAATGCATATAAACATATGTACATATGTAAGCATTGACGTAGAGCATATGAGGCATTGAGGGACTTGTGTGCCCTTGTCTAGCACTGCCTTAAAGCGAACGCAACGGGTGGGTGCGACAAGGTCACAAATATATATATTTATTTATACGCTTGTATTGGTGTTTCACTTACCACACAGTATTTCTCGCTTTTCTTCGAACATTCCTTCAAGTAGAGATGTGCATATTGATCCGAATAGTTGAGACAGGGCGTAATCGAGCCGACGCCCTCATTATACTGGCCGCACATGTTGCACTTGAGCCCGTTAACAGTGGCGAGACCGCACACCAATACCGTTAGCATAACGAGCATATTCTGGTAGCTCATCAAATTGCCAGCGCCCATGTTGATGTTGCGGCGGCAGCGACTCAGCAACGACATATTGTCACATCCGCTGCTGTTGTCGCTTTCGTTGTTGTCATTGTTGTTGTTGATGTTGCTATTGCTACGGTTGGCATTGTGGCTGGCATTGCCGCGTGCCATCAGTGGCATGCTATCTGGATAGCTCATCATGTTGTTGCTGCCGTTCAAATCGCTTGTAAATGGTGACATTATTATTTACCGTTTAGTCGCTGTATTAATGCTGTGTATGTATGTATTGCACTGCCTTTTCGCTGTATTTTGCTTACTTTATGAGACACTTTCGTTTGCGACAGTATGCGTGTGGCTTAACGGATTTTTTGCTAATATCGAGATTTTTGCGTAATTTTTGCCTTTTAATGTTACACTTTTTCACTCACTTTTTGCTTCGGTTTATTATTGTTATATTTATTTATTTTTTTATTGTTGGTATAGACGACGAAGAAAAATAGCACTCTCGCACTTTTTTTCGCTGAAAATTCTTTATCACTTACAAACACATACGTTCGTATATGTATTTTTGGTACTGTACTTATACCCTTAGCTGCTCACACGTAACTGATATCTTACTGCAAATAATCGAATTGCAAAGTGCAAATATTTGATTTGCTGCTCGACATCGAAATGTGATTTTAATTCTTCATTTAAATGCAAGCATGCTCTCAAATGCCTTAACGAGTGGTTGAGTAGTTGATTAAATGATTGGTGGCTCCAGCGTATGTGTGTGACGCTTGTGGCACTTAATGGCACAGCCAGGCCATAAAATCGCTTGGAATACTATTATCGAAGTAATGAATATGCAAATCGTGTCTGGCGTTGATAATGATTTGGCAAATCAACGTATTTAAGCATTAAATGGCTATTCAAGAAAGGAATCAGCTTTTGGCGCTTTTTTGAAATAACTTTTATAAGCGTTTAATGACTAAATGTGTCTGACAAAATAGGAGCTCTATATGATATAGAGGATTTATATTAAAGTGGCGCAAAAAATCACCGAAACTATTGAAATATATATAACTTTATATATTGTATATATATATACATATTATATACTGTCAACTGTTTGCTTACGACGCGAAAGATTCGTCTGGCGGAAATTTTGCGTTTCCAACGGAATCATTGAAAATATTGCAGATTAAGAAACTGGACTTTTTGAGTAGCAGAAACCATTAAATGAAGGTTGTGAAGTCATCGAAAAGTTGCTTCATGCCAATCATCCATCTACCTCTGTTAATGACGATAACATCGAAAAAGGTCAAAAAACAGTGCTTGAAAATTATCGCGTTTACATAAGAGAAATATCAGAGTTTCTCAGCATCTCTTATGAATCGACTTAATGCATTTTGGTTAATGTTTTGGGTATGAAGCGTGTCAATGCTCATACTAAAAGACCAGGATTTTAAGCAAAATCGACGGCGAGTAGAGCTCGCAAAAGAGATACATTCATTAAAGGCATTATTACTGGTAACGAAGCCTGAGATGATGAATATTAATATAATATACCTACTGGAAATTATCGGCGCAATAGTAGCGAATTCTACAAAGGCTATTGCTATTGAACGACGGAATTAACACTTACACTCAGTCAATCAACAGGCAAGCTAATTTGAATTTTCCTTCTAGACAACGGCGTTATTTTAGATAATGTTTCATATTCGACCTGTTTCATATTCGAAGATTTGCTAAAAGGCTATCATATAAATAAAATATCTTTTAGTGGATCCCACTTCAAAAAAATAACTCTACCTTACAAGTAGAGCACCTAGCGAAGATACTAGGTGTAGTTTTTCATCAAAATTGGGGTGTAGCTTGTCTGCCTAGATCAATGCTCACTCAAAGATTTTTAAGGATTTCTTAGCCCACATATTTATAATATTTGAACGCCGGGAAAATATAATAAACCTAAGTGTGGCTTATTTTCTGATTTACTGTATTAGAATTCATGCAATATTTTTACCAGAACAATTTCGTAAGTCTGTTAAGGTTCAACGCTTAAAAAGCTCTTCTAAACTTTAAACAACGTAAATAAGTACTAAGCGTATTCCACATACAAGTATAATATGTATATATAACACATATGCATTTTAAAAATGCTATTAGACAAAGATATTGTAATAAAAAATCCATGCCAAGCTTGTTTGAAGCACTATATACCCCACATATAAGTTGTCCTTTCAGTATAAAGTTGGTTGCAACTTTTGCCCACAGTCGAATATATTATTATTTCAATGGTTTCCATTAGTTTACCGAGAGTGACCATGTGCTAAGTTTAGTTAAACATTCCAACAACACAATTATTGGGAACATGTTTTCTGTCATTACAGCAACACCAACATGTATAGTAGTTTTATATTGAATGAGAATCATTTATAATAATGCCAGAAGAAGCTTGTACAAACATTTATCATAGTGAGAGGCTATTTGAAAATTTTGATTACATAATAACAGGTTTTTTTTCGAGATATAGAACTTTAAGTTGGCATTACTGTTCAAGATGGCGACCGATTTATTCAGAAAAATTGACTCTTTGATGCGCTTTATGTGCTGGTGGAATCATTGGTCCGTACTTCTTCGAAAACGATGATGGCCAGAACGTTACAGACAATGGTGATGGTGAATTGAACAACCATAATGTCTAGGAGCTTTGGTTCCAACAAGACGGCGCAACATGTCACACAGCTCGTGTCCCAATCGATTTATTGCAAGACACGTTTGGTGTCCGCCTAATTTCACTTTTTGGCCCTGTGTATTGTGGGGTTATGTAAAGTCATTGGCCTATGAGCATCAGCCACAAACGCTTAACTATTTGAAAGACAGTTATTGCCGATATACGGCCACAAATGTTGGAAAATTCATCGAAAATTGGACGTCCGGATTGGACTACATCCGAGCCAGCCGTGGCGGTCATATGCCAGAAATCATATTTAAATTGTAATGCCACAAGATTAACTTTCGGATAAATAAAATTCATGTCAATCGAATAACATCGTTGTTTTATTGCAATTTAAAGTTCTATACCTCTAAACAACAACACCCTTTACTTTTTGTAGTATTGTGCAAGTATACATTTTAGAAATGTTATTTTAAAATCATTCCGAGCTTGTTCTGTTATTGCTTTGGTTCAATTCTATATTTGCTCATTGTTATTGATTAAATGCCTGCAGCAGGAATATATTTACAATTATTGTGCACAGCCATATATAGTATATACAATAACAATATATAACATATATGTATATGTAAGTCTGAGTACCTTTTGAGGCACATATATACATATATATAAAAGAGTGGAGTGGAGCATTAATATAACAATTGCGGGTTTTCAGAAAGAAACTGAAGTGTTTCTTTCAAAAGAAAGTGACTAAATTTTTTTTAAATGGTAAATTATGTCATAAATAATTGATATTTGCCAGGTCTGAAAGGTATCAGATATTATAATATAATATTAAGTTTAGTTAAGGAAATTTTAAATTTTGTGTGAAGAAAAATTTTCAAAAATATATATTTACCGTTTAAAGCCAGTTTTATGTAGTAGTTTTTGGAGCCATGGTCATAAATATTATTGGCTTAAAGTTTTGAACAACTGTACATATTACTATATTCATTTGTTGTTATGAATAAATTTCTTTGAATTGTTAAATATACATACTCAGCCATGGCGGCTAAAACAGTTGGTGCACATATAAGCCTTATACTTAGTAGGAGACTACATTACAGATTTAAATCTATAATCAAGCTAAAATGTAACTACAATTTAAGATTAAGGTTTAAGGTAATTGTTTACGTTAAGCAAAGCTAAACATTTGCAATGACCTCTATCCCTTTCTATTATTACTCTGGAGAAAACTTTGAAAATCCAAGATTTACCAGTAATGATACATTTGATGAATGATGAGTCCTTAGTTGCGTTGTCAAGTATATAATTTGCGTTCTTTACTTGACGTCGGTTTTGTAAAAGACTCAGGTCTATTGGTACGAGTTTAGCATTGACACTTTTCATACCCAAAACATTAACCAAAACGGTTGAGTCTATCCATAGCCTATTTTGATATACTCTGCTATATCTCTGATGCCAACACGACAATAATCAAGCTCTGTTTCTTTAACTTCTTCGTTGTTATTATCATTAACAGAAGTTGTTGGTCGACTGAGGCCAGTTTTCGATAACTTCACGGCCTTCACTGAATGCTGTGTGTCACTTAAATACTTGTGTTCGTGATAAAGAAGACTCCCTAAAACAATTTTGCCGTGCTTTTATTGCAAACACAAAATTTCAAACTTCACACGAATATTAAAAAAGGTTGAATCAACCGAGAATTTATTTTTTTATGCTTTGGCTTTCGCGCATTTAAGTGGATCAGTCCGGGTCAAATGATCAGATGGTATGGACAGAATTTCTGTCTTGATATTAGAAGCATTAAAAATCATTGAATATTTAGGCCTATGTATTTTTACTCATTCCTATAGACCCAAAAAAATATTCAAACAAGGAACTTCAAGGGTTTAATAACGTATGTATTAAAGTTAATTATGCTGATTATATCGGCCAACAAATTTACGGTGTTAAGTTTTCTTCATATGTAAAAAAGCGTTCAGTTATTAAGAGAAGTTCCAATAGTATTAAGTTAGTTATAAAGAATAGAGCCCAATAGTTGCATATTATATATCTATTCGGATGGGATGCAAGTGTATTATAAAGGGAAATATGTACTAATTTGTGTTAGTTAGTTAGCAAAAATAGTAATATATCAATAAAAGCAGAGGATATAGCCAACCAATCAAGCAGGATGTTTTGTTTTTTAAATTACTTTCAAACTAAAAATTTACAGTTTTTCTTAGAAGTTCGTATAATTAGAAAACACCGCATTATACATAGAGCTTCAAGCGCCCATTTTTGCTTTCTTTCAAGTCAAATAACTTGTAAGTAAGCGCAAACACACACTCATGCAGAGCGATATCAATAGCAAAGTTTATCATACGCCTAGTTGAACCGCGAATTGAATTAAACGACAAATTAAACAAAATGTTTAAGTTTTAATTATTTCAAAGCCCCACGATAAGTGCAGCAAATGCTTTACATTTCACGCATCCTTACTTCCGGCCGAAGTTGATCCGCACCGAAAAACAACAAAGTAAATGCCAATAAATGGCAAAGGCGCCTTGTCACTGAATTTAAGGTCTCAGTCAATATACAATAAAAACAACACACAAACAGTTGAACGAAGAACGCGAAGCTCGAAAGACAACCAAGTGGCGCGAACTGCAGATCACACACACACACACATACACACAAACATATGTATATGTGTAACTGTAAATAGTTAAAATGCGAGCGCGAAGCACTCAATTCGGTATGCAAATGCTATGCATGTACAGTTATTTATTGTCTGTTGATGTTACTACTGCAATTGATGTTGTTGTTGTAGTGCAGTCACCCTAACTGCTGTCGTTGCAACATGCCGCCGCGACTACATCAAGTAGCTACAAGTAAATAAATAGCGGCGGCACCAACAATTTCGTCTAAACTCTGTGTGAAAGTAGGTAGTACCAAGGCTTTGCAATACAATTATTTGTCAATGTAATTATTTATGTAATACGCTTAGCACACACAAACACACACACATACATACATTCATGTATACATTATTACATATGTGATATGAGAAAAATAATTACAAACACACAAGTTTATGCCGAGCTAAAAATTAATAAAAACAATAATAAACATGTGTTGCAATGTCATGTGGCAATTATTGCGAAATAATATTTGCTTGCGGTTTGTCACTCGCTTGAGCTGCGCTCAAAGTCAGCCACTAATTAAGTGTAATGAGCGGAATTGTGTCACTTAAATGTTGATTCGAATGCATTTAACTAACTTTTTTATGTATTAATTTATATTCTCTTCACAATCTATAAAATCATATTCATATAAATTTTTTGTTTATCTCACAAAAATAGTTTTTTTTTTATACAAATTAACTTTAAAAATAATGCAAACAATTAATTTTTCCAAATTTTCACTCTCAATTAACATTCATATCGCCATGAAACAAGTGTTCTTTGCCAAAATCACTTTTTTTTTGCATTGTTATATATACTTCTATATAAGTTTATTCAAATCTCTAACGCACTCTTCTACATTTGTGTACACATTTCAACACTTCTTGCACTTTCACCTCGTTCTTCCTCTTATGCCACACTTAAATCTCCACACACTTTACCTCACTATTCTTCCTGCACACTTTGTTGTATTTTTTGCTATTATTATTTTTTTTTAAACTACTACTTATACACCGTATGGTCGCTTGTCCGCTACGTACAACCGCTCGCGTCGGGATCGTGAACGTTAGTGATTTGCGTTGTGCAGCTGCATGGACCACGAGGTGTCCAATCAAAACACAAAACGAAGAAGAAAGCACGTGCAATGACGGAGATAGCGCAGCGACTGCATGATGCCATGATGGGTGGTTTGCAAACAGTTGAAATGCCACTGTAGTATATTATAACAGTTTCGTTTGCATGGAGAAACGGTTTGCCGTAGTGTTAGTGGTTTTTGTGTGATTACATATGTGTGCCTGTATATATGTGAAGGAGCTATGTGATTATTAAATTTCCGACATCAAAGATTTGCAGAGGTATAGCACACCTTTTGGCGCATTTAGTATTGTAATTTCAGTATTTAAGAGAAGTTCCAACTATTAGCCAAATATTTCTATTATATTTATATAAGATCTAGTAAATAATACATAATTTTGTTTAAATTGCATGATTTATTTAGCATAGTTACAATTTTGCGATTTAGTTCAAATATGCACTTTTTGTTTGATAATTCGTTGCAATTTTTAAGGTAACTTCATAGTGTCCCTATCATAGATATATACGTCCTTATTGGCAAAAAACTGAGACAGTCGATTTTCACAAACTTCTTTTGAGGCTAATTTTTCACCAGCAAAATCATTCACCATAGACAGGAATAGGTAGCCATCACTTGTTGTTGGTTCCGGACTAGGAGTTGGGTGCATAAGAACTCCTCCACCAAACTCCCGGACCTTCTGCCGAACCACAGTCGAATTGTGAGCGGCCTCACGTTATCCTGAAGGAACAGAACTCCTCTCCTATTGAACAAAGCTGACCATTTCTAGGCGATTACTTCCTTCAGCCGGTCCAATTGTGCACAGTACACATTCAAATTAAGAGTTGGGCCGTAGAGCAGCAGCTCCTAGTAGTTGGTTCCCCGTCAATGAGGATTATTTGATTTAACTTATTGGGATGAAAATTCAGATAAACTAAAAAATTTATATTTCAGCAACTCAGTTTTCAATTCAGACAAAGAAGAAAAGAATACCATATATATCAACAATGATTAACAGACATAATAATGCCTTATTTTAGAAAGTTTTTTTTATTTAGAATGATGAATTCATATTTTCTTGAATCCAACTAATATAATGCGAAACTTTGGTGAACACACCGGGATATGGATAAATGGTACAAGGTTTGATACTCCACGATACTATGCCCAATTGTATAGAACCGTTATAAAGCAAAGGACCACCTGAGTCACCATTACATTGACCCTTGCCACCTTCATCGACGCCACCACAAATATGATCTTTGGTCGTGCGTCCCTCATGGCGTGCGTTGCACTCATCATCAGAGAAGAGTTTCAAATCGACTTCTTGCAGAACCCTTTGAACCGGACCACCGGTCTAAAAGATAATATAGATTAAACAAAAAATAATAATATGAAATATATATACCTATATATATATATATATATATACCTCATTGCGTCCCCAACCAGCGAGAACGCCTGGCGCGCCAGCCTGCACTTGCGGTATTTCAAAGTATGGTTCCGGTAAGGTAACCGGTGCAATTGTTTTATAGTTGTACACCAACTGACCGAACAACTCCAGCAAGGCAATATCATTGGCATAAGCGTCTGCGGGTCTGTAATCCTCGTGTACAATGATGCGTTTAACCTTCGCCACATTGGAGCTTGCAGCGGCGATTTCGGTCGAGGCGTACTGAATGCTGATCCTGCTAGCCGTTGCACTAACAACACAATGCGCGGCAGTGAGTATCCAACGTGGCGCTATGATGGTAGCACCGCATGAGTGGGAACCGGTTGAACCGCGCAAGGATACCTTTACAAAAAAAAGTTATATTAATTTAATTTTCACTTTTTTATTTAATTTGAGCTGAACGCACCAAAAATGGGAACTTTGTGATGACCGAGGATGTGCCATTTACAACACGTCCTTCGGGGTAGCAGGATGCCACGCCTAAGACCGCTGCGAGAACTACCACGTATCCAGTCCACATTTTGCTTAATAATCCGCTCAGCACTTTTGTCGAACTAAGTCGAAATACATACTGATTTCGTAGCGAGTTTACGGTGCCTTGTTACCTTTGTTCTTAACCTTAATCTAATCGTTTAAAATCGAAAGATTTTATTTTTATGGTCGCGTGGATGTTTTTTTAGTTAAGTTGGCTTTTCCTGATTTACGTGAACAGTAGCGAATAATAAAGTGTTGTTGTTTTCATAAATGAAGTATTTTAATTACAACAATAAGCGAAAATTATACAATATAATCGTACGATTAAGACGTCTGATCGAACTTAGCGCCTTCATAAGATATTGTATTACCAAATCTATAACTATTTACATATTATAATTGTTTAACTTTTATTGATGCTAGACTTCATTGAAGAATGTTTCAGAACGATCTAACAGTTAATCAGAATAAGACTGAACACATAGTGAAGCAAAGAGCATGACGAACGAAGAGTTCAACACTCTGGTTTCATGCTCACTTTTTTACTCTCGCTATTTGCTACAGTTATATAGTAAGGAGTGTAGATACGATAAACGAAAGGAATATGACAAACTTAATTTCCTACAGGATCGTTTTTCGTCTTTTGATTTATTTTATGTCTCAGCTATTGCTCAGGTAAAAGTGTTTCTAATATATGATCACCCTTAGAAGCAATCGCTGAGAAGCAAGCGTGCGGTAAAGACGGGAATGTCTGGTTTTGGTTGCCATTTAATGAATTTATTAAAGTCATATGTTCTTTATTTTTAAGTAAAAATTATTACCGTTTAGTATGGAAATTCCCTGCTGCCGAAACAGGTTATATAAAAAACGTTTTCCAAAATTCGACTGCCGCTATACGATTTGCTTCCTGCAGAAACATTTCTAATGTTAAAAAGATTCTCAAAATATAAATGAGAGGTGGAGAGATTCCCCAAATTTTTTGAGTTGAAAATCTGTGTACACTATGCTCGTTATCCACAAAAAAAATTCAACGATTTAAAGCCCTCAAGGGTTACAAACATAACTGCATTAATATACCCAAGAGACTTAACTATATCATTTTCTGGAACAAAATTAAGAAGATAAGATGACCAGATAGAACCACAAAATATTTACCATTTATCAACTGCACAACATTTTTGGTGGAAGACCGGTAAGAAAATGCTGATTAACTCTCCAAACCGACTATTTATTAAAGAATTGTTATCAAAGTTCGGAATGATGATATATAGATAAAACAGCCATCTACTTTCAATTTCTCTTTGCGACATCCAAAACTATCTTTTCACACCACTTTCCCAGCAAACTCAATCGTTACAGTGATGGTTATGCCGCAGTTTTTCAAATTACACATTAAGAGAGAAGGCAAAGTATTCGTAGTATAATACGTAAGCGTATACAACCACTGGTGCTAATAAATGTATAAACGAGGACAGTCCGATGAATGAATGAGGATTTATTTCACAACTAGTTTCTAGGCTATTACTTGGCCCAGCGATACTTAAACTGCTTTAGCCGGTCTGAAAAATACGTTTTCTTCATTCGACTAAAATTTCTTCCAGAATAAAAGAAGATGTGTACAATATGGTGGATAGATCAGCAGTTCATGGCCTAATTCGGCCAAGTGCGTTATCATGATTGAAGAGCACTTTTATCTTCGCCAAATAGCACTTCTGCAGGAAGTTAATGTAAATCACAGACTGTGAATTCCAGGAAACTTCCTTCTTTCAGCTTTCTATCCGATAGGACAGTTTTTGCCTTGCTCGGAGCAAGTTCGACGAGTGAAAGTCACTATTTAGACTACTCGTTGGTCACTGATGTGTAACATATGTACAATATGTAGCAGTGAATTCATGCTGTGAAGTGGTTTACAGTTGCACTTGCTGTCCTAAATAAGTTTACAAAAATGTACTGCACGTTAGTAAATTTGTCTTGGCATTGTGACGGCATCAGGCTAGGTGAGGCTAAGTACTTATCGGACCGTCCTCGTATTTTTTTATGTGTATATACTTTTTTGGTATTCAACATATTGGTATAATGAACACGTACTCAGATTAGCTATGTGCATTTGTAGAACTGTAATTGTATATTTCAGTAATAAATCAATTAAACCTAAATTGATAAATCTATGACTTAAATAATATGTGCGAACATTCCGACAGCGTTTAGAAGATAAAAAATTAATTATATAATATATGTACATAACACTAATTAAAAATAATTTCGAGTTTACTTTTTAAATATTAGCCACATTATATATTAATACTAGTTAGTGTTAGAGCTAGCTAAAAATTAATGAATAAAGAATAAACTAAAAAGGAATACTTAAAAATTAATAAAAAAAATTACATATATATATATATATATATTAGTTATATATATTTTCAATAAATTCAAACAACTGCATCGGTGTGATTGCGTATCCAGCCAATATAGTGCGAAACTTTTGTATAAACTCCCGGATAATACTTGACACCACACGGTTTAACGCTCCACGATACGATGCCCAATTGTATGCTACCCATATAGAGCAAAGGACCACCGGAATCACCGGTGCATTGGCCCTTACCGCCCACATCCACACCAGCACATAAATGATCGGCGTTAGTGTGGCCACTATGACGAGTGGTACACTCGCAATCTGAATAAATCTTCAGGTGGACATCTTCTAGTGTCGGCGTATTGACGCCACCAGTCTGGAGAAGTTAATAGTATGATATTATAGTAGCTATAGGTGTTAAGAAATAGAGGCATGACTTACCGCATTTAGACCCCAACCGAGTAGCACACCAGCGGCGCCTATCTCTGTCTGCGGCACCTCAAAGTATGGATCCGGTAAGGCGACCGACGCCACTTTCACATAATCATACACTAAACCGTTATACAATTTTACAAGGGCAATATCATTGGCATATGAGCCGCCCGGCGTATAATTCTCATGCACAATAATGCGTTCAACTGGCGCGAAATTGCCACTGTATCGACTGATTACCTTTGCGGCGAACTGTATGCTGAGATCCTTTGCTGCGCGCTCGTAAACGCAATGCGCAGCCGTAAGTATCCAGCGTGGCGCGATGATGCTCGCACCGCAAGTATGTGCGCCTTTCGTTAAGCGCAGAGAGACCTTTACAAATGGAGATGAGAGAACTTTCTTTTATAAATTATTATTTTCAACCAAACAATTATATATAAGTATTTTGCTGTTGTTTTTGTATATTAATCATTTTTCGAATATTTAACACACCATAAATGGATATTTGCCAATCACAGTCGTAGTACCGTTTACAATGCGTCCATCGGGAAAAGAAGAAACCGCGCCCAAGAGGGCTACAATAATTATCGCGGACCGTATCCACATTGTTTACACTTAAAAATTATTTTCGTTTATCAAATTATTGTACTTCTCGACAGAAACCGCACATTTGTCTAACTAACGGCTTTTGGTACTGTGGCGAACTTTTATAAGTAACCAAAAAAGAATTTTCCTAGAAGAAGAATGCATAGAAGGACATTATCAGCACCTTGATTTATTATTAATAAAAATATATATTTAAAGATAATTTTTTCTATATATTTTGCAACGGTTCACCTTTTATTTATTTGTATTTCTCAAAGCAATATTTCAATGCCGAGTTTTGATTAGATCTACACATAAGACTGTCAAAAATGTTAGCAATAAATAACTGTTTGGCAACTATTTAATAAAAATTAATTGTATAAAAATTATAATAGACAGGCGCCTGAGTTCAAATTTCGTTTATCGGTTTGTGTGCAACCAAATAACAGTAAGCCAGATAATAATAAATAAATATCAGATAAAAATTTTGTTATTTCCCCACTTCCGTTATGACGAAGCTACAGTAAGTGTGGTATGCAAAATGTTTATCAGGTTTAATGACGATGAATAGTATCGAGAGTTTTCGGACTTTGCTCTTTTCTGTGTCTTTTGTAGCATTTCTAGTAAATGAATCGAATACTTATTTTTCTATACAATCGGTTGTAATCGAAACAATAACATTTCGAAATTCTCTAAGAAATTTTATTGAATGACATTATATTATATACTTTCAGAGTAAAACAAACATTATCGAATTAATTATTAGCATTTGGATTTGTCGTAAATAATAGTAGGTATTTAATTATGAACTGAGCCGAGATACGTACGCTGACTGCTTATTCAAGAATAACAAGAAAAAGCCTTATCTTCGGTTGCACCGAGGCTATAACACCCTTCACAAATACAAAAGGTTCCTTAGAAGAATTTGATTTGGATCGTTCAGTTTGTATGTAGAAAATTATCCCTTCCAAATTTTGTGAATATATCTCGACAAATAAAAAAGTTTTCCATACAAGAACTTGATTCCGATTGTTCAATTTGTATGACAACTATATGATATAGTGGTCCGATATTGGCCATTCCGACAAATGAGCAGCTTCTTTTTGAGAAACGGTCGTATTCTTAAATTTAGAAGATCGATATCTCAAAAACTTAGAGACTAGTTCGCGTATATACAGACAGACAGACGGACATTAGCTTATCATGCTCATCATTTATGTATATATTTTATAGGGTATCCGACGTTTCCCTCTGGGTGTTACACGTGGTAAACTCAATATACCCTGTTTAGAATAAAAAAAGATTAAGACATTTTTGCACCATTATTTTTTTGGAAAGACGTTTGACAGGAAACTTGGAGTACTTAGTTATCATTCTTTCTTTTTATTTGCTGACAAGATATTTCGTTCACTTTTAGACAAAGTCTTCTAGCTTCTGTAGACAATTTAGCAAAAGCGAAGATAAAAGGGTCGGAAATTCTACCGGAATGGTGATATGCTAACTACTTCGTATTTTTTTTTTCGTCAACGTTAAATTATAAGTTCTATAGACTACCGAATCGCTAAGATGTGTTTGTTATGAAAACATAAAACGTTCTGAAACCAGATTTTAGGGAATTCTGTCCAGATGACAGTTCTTGCTATAAATAGTCTTTTCGTCCAATTTCGTCGATCGGACTATCAAGATAACGACGCGCTGACGGACATATCGCTTAATATTATATAGCTTAAATAGAGTTCACCATTCTAACTTAGACAATGGTATAACTTAGTGGCATTTTAGTGGATGTCGAGGCAGTTTTCATGATCTAAGATTTACTTTTTTAATATCTGATCAATGTTTAACTAAGCAGAAGCCAAGTTGCATTCGGCTTACTTGAAGTGGATCTAAAACTATCGCAGAAACCTTAGAAGTTTGTAAATATTTTAAAAGATTTTGTTTCTGGCCTATTATCTGAGCTACCGACGAAAACAAGCATGCTTAGAAAAGATTTGGGCAGTTGAATCCGAAGTGAAATCAGAAACCATAGACAACTTCACTTGCAAGCTGTTCTACTAGCTTAAAAGTTGGATCTCTACATTCAGCAGTATTAGTTTGCCCTTATCTGAAATTCCTAAAAATTAGGAGCTAATAAGAAGCAGTGGAATGTTCTAATAGGAGACGAAGTACATACAAGTATAAAATTACCTAGGTATACCCATTGGTTAAGTCAGAAGTATGGAATAAGAATCTAAGGCGAGCTTCAAAAGTTTAGTAACCACAATGAAGCTCGGCAATTTTCTGACAATCTTTTCGAAGGTCTCCAATCGATTTCCAACTCAGGCCGGCTTTCTTTCATGACGTCATAAACTCCATAAAAAGTAAAGCGACAAAACTGTTCTCACATCTATTTCTATCATTCTTGCACTAAAAGTACGAAAAAGGTACACACTGCCTAGGTGATCTTAGTAAACTCCTCCCACTACTACCAGTTTTGTTCTTTGTGTTCGAATGGTGAACTTTGTCTCAAGGGTTCAATCACAAGCTACCTTAAATATTACATAAGCATATTCAACTTCCTAAAGGCTAAATACGTAAATCGTGATTTTATTTTTTAATCTATCATGTTCATATAGAAACCAAAACGGACTTATCGGTTTTTGTGTTTTTTAGAAAATAATCACCAAGTTTTTATTTTGAGGTGCCCATAGTTAAACAATTCAAATACATGAATCACAATTCTCCTTAATCCAATCAATGTAGTGAGAAACCTTTGTGTATACACCTGGATATGGTGGTACTGTACATGGTTTGATACTCCAAGACACAATACCCAATTGAACGTTTCCTTCAGAAAGTAGGGGACCGCCGGAATCGCCACTGCATTGACCCTTCCAACCGTCATCAACGCCGCCGCAAATATTGTGAATAGTCGTGTCGTTGTTATGGCGTGAGATACATTCTTCATCGGAATAAATCTTCAGACCAACTTCCTGCAGAGTGGTTTGGATATAACCGCCAGTCTAGTTAGGACGAAATAAGAGAGAAGTTAACTGGATAAGAATATGTTTTCTAGTATAGAACACAATTTAACATACAGCATTTAAACCCCAACCGGCCAATACACCGGGCACACCCTCAGCAATCTGTGGTATCTCATAGTTCTGCGCTGGCAATGTAACCGGTGCAATGGTATTATAGTTGAACACCAATTGACCGAACAGCTCCAACAACGCGACGTCATCTGTTAAGTAGTAACTCGAATAGTTCTCGTGCCAGATAACGCGTTTCACCGACGCCACATTGGCGGCTCTGGCTCTGATCACGGTCGAGGCATATTGTATGCTAATGGATGTGGGTCTAGTACGGTAGACACAATGTGCCGCGGTGAGTATCCAACGTGGCGCTATGATGCTTGCGCCGCATGAGTGTGAACCAGTCGAACCGCGCAATGATACCTTGAAGAGTACAAATTAATTTCAATGCTTCAGCACATACTCTTTATTTAAGTAAACACACCATAAACGGATATTTTTCAATGCCTGTCGATGTACCATTGACGACGCGACCTTGAGGATAGCAGTATGCCACGCTCATCAATGCGAACAACACTAATGCGTACCGGGTCCACATATCGGCAGATAGAGAATAAGTTCGTTAAGAAATCTAACCTAAGACTGACTAATTTCCACAAATCTGTGTCTTTTATAAACACAGCATTTGGTTCGATTTCAAAATTGTTTGTAATAAACATATTATAGCAACGTAAAACCCCATAATTCACACTATAAATACTGGGTAATTGAAAATATATAAACTGCGTGTCACTTTTATGCGCGTAGATGATAAGCGCAATCGATAAACTGAAAAAACAACCTAATTCTAGGTTATACCGAATCATTTTCGAAGCCCCGATAAGTTATCTTTGACAAATGAATTACAATATCCCGTCTAGTGATTGACCGCAATCAGTGCTACAATTAAGATTACTTACAACGAGCTACTTAATACGATTGCCTTGCAATTCGGTATGTTATCACTATAATGTTATCGTATAGAATGGATTTTTTTACCAGAAGTAAGGTCGTATTTAAATATTGCTAGTTAACTGGATCAGCCTTTACTTCCTCTTCAATCAAATTCTCTCTTGTTGATTTGTTGATCTTTTGCGCGAGTACATCGCATTTTGCTTTCGTATTTTTGAGATCCCAACTAACCCTTTACTACTATTTACTATTTTCATATATAGTATTTTACCGATTGGGAAACCAGTTGTCGCCGAGTAGCTAACTATCCTATTTTTTAAGTGAGATTCGTAATATATTCTTTAAAACTTCTCTAATCTCATAAGTGGAGAAAGCAATGAAAGAAAATGAAGATCCAAAATCTCAAATCCAATACTAAGAAATTGACTTTCCTTCAACTAACTATTAAAGCTGGATTAGTAAGGCTAAGGCTATGCGGGTTACCAAAGAAGATAATAAAGTGCATATATCAATACCAATGTTTACTCAGCATGTAGGCTGTTCTAACAAGTTTCTATTTTATGTGAAAGATTGAAGACCAAACATCGGGCCTTATCACCATGGACTCAATGTACCATGTGTTTCACTTTTTAAAAAAATGCAAAAAAGATCATTTTGTATGTTTGACTTTTCAGCAAAACCAGCAGGTCAGTCAGAACCTACTTCGCCCCCTTTCCACCTAAAACCAAGCCTTTAGGTAATTACAGTAGCAATCTACAAGCAGAAGAGCCTGCTATTAAATAATGTAAGATCTAATAAAATAAGTGACGCACACTCTAAGCCTCGGGAAGGAAAGCAATACCTCTGAAATAGACACTAGACAGTACCCACAGTTTCTGGCACCACCTGCACTTCACCTCCCAGCAGTTCTGGCAGTCAGATTCAATTTTTCTGGGAATATTTTCTACTTTTCGGACAATGCAGAGTTCCCACGTAGCAAGTGAGTTCACCCGTAGCTATAGCCATTCTTTGTCACTTCCAGATCCACTCATCGAACATTCTTCTCATCCCTGTCTTGTCCAACCGCAATGAAATAGCTCTTTTCAATTCCAAAAGAGCCGGATTTTTTCCGATCAAAGGTTGTTACTTCGGCGATATCACTCATTTGGATCATTAAGTAGTAAATAGCTTGGGGAAACGACCCGATTTCATACCGACTAAGTAGTTAAGAAAAATTATTGTTCACCTAAGGTTTATTGTGCCCTAACCTGACTAAGTAAAATCAACATTGAACTATATAATTCCATCCAATCTTCGAACAACTACTACAACAATAACCGTTATTTTTTCAACTCTGTGCAACTGCGTACCTATCTGACCTGAGGAAGCTCGTTTTATAACTCGTCGTGTTAAATTTGATAAATAACGGGGTTTCAAATATAATTAGACCCTGAACAGGGTATATTAAGTTTGCCACGAAGTTCGCGACAACCGGAAGGAAACCTCGGAGACCCTATATAGATACATATATATATATATATACATTACCAGTATATAAATTATCAGCGTTACGAGCTGAGTCGGCTGAGTCCATGTATTGTATATGCGTGTACTAGTCCCTCAGTTTTTGAGATATCAATCAGAAATTTTGCACACATCTTTTGCATACCAACAAGCTGCTCGGAATAGCCGATAACGGAATACTATAGCTGACATAAATATAAACTATTCGATCAAAATCAAGTCTTTGTATAGAAAACTTTTTTATTTGTGAAGGGTATTATAGCTACAGTGCAGCAGAAGTTAACGTTTTTTCTCGTTTTTATACCACAAAGTAAAAATGCAAATATCCGTTGCATGGATAAAACTGTATTTATGTTTATATATTTCAGAATTGAAAAATTATTTTAATATTACTTCAATAAAAGCATAAATACATTCTTAAATTCTAAAATGTGTGCATAAAAGGCAAAAAACAACATTAGGCAGATGCTATAAATTAAAAATATGTGTATACGTGTACATGAAAACCGCTGAGTGTGTTGGTGACGCGAATGGAATGTGTGGCTGAAACTGCAGCGCTAATAAATATACAAATGAAGTGTCATTATTTATGAGGTAATTTAAGAAAAAAACTTAAAAAAAGATTAAAGCATTAAAGATCACAAACTTTACAGACAAAATTAGGCAAAACTTTGACATATAAAAACTTAGCATATATACGAGTATGTAAACATACATACATTAAGCTATATGTAAACGAACTACAATTACATGCATGCACTTTATGTAATGTAGTGAAAAAAAATTAACAAATTATAAGCATATTATAGTTCAACTACATAACAGTATAAGATGATATCGAATTTTCTACTATAATGTAAATATATATGTATATGTCTGCGCTTGCGCACCATTGCTTGGCATTGTTAAAAAAGTTTTTTTGAAACAACTACTAATATTTTATTTGCTACTAACGCTAACAGTACATACTTATATAAACATATTTTCTATTGTGATAGAAATACATATACATATATACTATGCGCTGAATAAATTCGATTTAATCAATATCGATTCGCTTGATTTTGCTTGCACTGGCGTGTGTAACACGACATATGTATTTATAAAAACAAGAAAAAACTACACGAAATATTTTTATATGCTAAATACTACTGTACTGAACAATGGCGCACCGATGTCAATTTTTGCTCATCAACCATTTCCTTAGCAGACAGTATACTTTTAATACTCTCAGCCTCTTTCATCCAGATTTCCAACTAAGAAATATTGTTAAATAATAAATTTGATATTTTATTGCGATAAATACCAAAAAAATACCTGTTGTAGCAGCAAGTTGCGGCGCTCACCCTTCGGTTCATTGTTTGTGAACGGCACTAGCATGCCCAAGGCGGAAGTATATGCTTCCAAAGCTGCCTTCAATTTTCTCTCGTACAAATAAAGCTCACCTTGGCGTCCAATTTCCAAAGCACTTTTCAATTGTGGACTCGAGTGCGAGAGCGCAACTAAGGCAATGAAAGTGCAATATTTAATATTAAGTGACTAAATTCTGTAAATAAATCAAAAACATACATAACTGCTTGTAACGCACATCTGGCTCCAGCACATCGGCTATGTTCGGCTGTGGTGTTTGCGCAGAGGAGCTGCTCGGCAGCTGCTCCTGCTGCTGGGAATGCACTTGTTTCTTATGTAGATCTTTAGCCGCTGCGGCTTTATATTCAGTATCGATTAGAACATTTTTTATTTCTTCAGCGCGTTTGAGGTAGGTAAGTGCACGATTGCGCAAAGCCAATCGTTTACTGGCATCTGCTTCCTCAGTGATGAGCGGCACAAAATATTGCAACGCGCTGCAGTATAAATAATAAGCCTCTTTGTAATTTTGTTTTTCATCATATTCGACGGCTTTGGTGACGAGGTCCGAAGCTTTTTGTAATGTCTATTCAAAAATTTTAATTTAAATTATTTGAAAAATTTAATGAATTATAACCTACATGTTCCGTGGGCAAAGTTTTGAGATCAATGAACGGATGTGCAAAAAACGAATCGAATGAAATACGTTTGGCAGGATCGTGTTCCAATAAACGGCAAAGCAGATCATGACACTCATTGCTAATGCTTGCATTCGCCGGTATGGTTATCTTCTCTGCATTGCGTATACGCTGTAAAAGCTCTTCAATACTCTTGGAAGTGTATGGCGCTTTGCCAAAAAGGCATTCATATAAAATCACACCAATACTCCATAAATCGGCTTTGGCGTCATATTGATGTTTGCGCACTATTTCTGGTGCCATATAGAGTGGTGAGCCCTTGAGTTGTTGATTGATCTCACCCAATTTCAAGTGTTGCGCAAAGCTGTAATTTTTTAACAGTTTATATAAATAATTTAAAATATATATACTTACACTTGTGTTTAAATATGCTTACCCGAAATCTGCCACCTTTAATATCACATTTGAATTACGAGTTAATAATAAATTTTGTGGTTTCAAATCGAAATGACAGATATCATTTGTGCGCATATACTGCACAGCAGCTGCCAATTGACGCAGGAAAAAGCGGCAAGTGGCTTCCGGTAATGATTTTTTCGAACGTATGAAGGCCGATAGATTACCGGCATTACAAAACTCCAGCACAATGTAAATCTTCCTAAGGAAATCAAATAACAATTTTTTAAATGAAACACACAAAAAGATATTTACATACTTATCATCCCAAAAGAAATCTTGTAATGTCACAATGTACTTGTGGTTCAGTGAACGGAGTAGCCTTATCTCGGTTATAAGATTTTCACGTGAACTATCCGATAGCGTTGACATTTCCACAATCTTAATAGCATGATAGCTGCGCTCCTTTTTGTGGCGTGCTTTATAGACGGTTGAATAGCTGCCAACTCCAAGCTTCTCCAGCAGGTCGTAGTCGGTGATTCGGGGCAGGGTCATGTTGAACGTAACAAATTATGTCATATACTAACACGCTAACTTCTGTTGAAACACTTCTTCACTTACTCCATTTGTTGTGGCCAATTTGAGAACAAAAAATATGCGCAAAGGAATAAAAACCAAAAAATATAAACGAAGAAATTGAAATGTTGATAATGCGATCAGCTGTTAATGAAAAACGTTGCCGTACTGTATAGGAGCTGACTGCTATTTTTTAACCAATTGGAAGCGATAGAATTAGTTTATATTTTATGCCTAATAACTCTAGCACATATTTTGAAAATGTAAATATTTACAATAAGACTCAATGTATTTATTTTTGTAAATACTGGCAGCCGTATACATATACATGTGCTGCTCTAGATAATTATTTTGCACTTGTACAAAATTACCCAACACTGGACTAATCGATAACTCACTCGATAACAAAATTTATTAGACAATTGTCAAAGTGGAATTATTCATATTTCGTGGAGCGCATTTTTCAACAACAGTAATGTTTTGTTGGATTATTTATTTTGTTTACATTAATATGATATTATAAATATAAATTATTATTAGAACAGTTTATGGTGCACCAATAGTACTACAACAAAAAAATATTAACGTATTAAAACTTTTGAATGACTGCTGTTTTTGTTTGACAACTTGCTACAGAGTTGGGGTGACGCCCAAACTTAATCAGCAAACAACATTAATTAATGCACAAAACAATTTAATAAAGTGCTTCTAATCTTTTTACAGTCACACATTTTCTACGTAAAGTTTATTTATTTAAACGAGAATCAAACGAAAACAAGTGCAACAACATTGCTAAAGCTTCAACATGAATTATGGCCGCAAGACACCATCCACGTATCGCTCCAACCACTCGGTGTACTCTCACACCACTGGCAGGTCAGTTAAAGAGTTACAAATTTAGAATTTTGTGTTATTATACATATGTGTATGTCTTTATTATTCTTCACCAGATCCTCGACAAATTTGCATTCGATAAAATCGCGCTCCATGCGCTCAGTGCGTGTGCCATGGTATCAGCGCCCTATTTTGAAAAACAACCAATACATAGATATACAGAAGAACTCAATGCTAATTGGAATATTTGCAATTGTAAGTTTACTAAATTAATATGTAAATTATATTATTTCTTAATTAACACAAAACATTTTAAATTTCAGTTTCTTGCTCTCTTCACCATTGGCACTTCGATTTTCGATATTTACTGCTTAGCTATGGCTGCACCGGGCTCAACTCACTATGGCTACTATATAATCTCATACGAATTTGTTTATGTCGGCAACAAACATGGTATGCAACTCTGTTATTTTTAAGTAATCTACATATGTATTTATTTACATATTTAATATTGTTACAGTGCGCAACATGCTAATTGTGTTTGCCTTATTTTCTCTGATACTAGGAATAATTATATTATTTACAAGTATATTACTTGTGATTGCACTTAGAAAGGTAAGTGTGACTTTGAAAAAAAATTAATACAAATAAATTCAGTTCTTCTGTCTCTTTACGTGCACCACAACATCTATTTTTGCAATAATAATTTTCCTGTTTTGCTTCTCATACACACTATTTCTTTTTCATAAACAATTTCTTTTTCACTTCACTTCATCTACTAACATTCATATTATTCCACAAGCTACTTAAAAAAGGAAAGAAACGAAAGCACTTCGTTTTCATACCGGTACGACTCAATACATACATATATGTTTCACATATTTAATAACACTAGTTTTTGTATAATATTATTTTATGCACATGCATATATGTAGATGTGCATATTATTTTACATTATCTATTTTTAATATAAACGATGTTTAGTAATTTAACTATTTTCACTCTGCAGGAGTACGAGCGCAAAATTCTGCCTTGGTTGAACACATTTGCTGTGTTTACTATTTGGCGCTCGCTGGCTTTGATATTCTTCGCCATAGTTAACGATTTGATTTTCGCCTACAATGTTATTATGGTATTGCTTTGGAGTATCTCTTTAGTCGTTTGTATCTATGGCTGGTGTGTGGTGTACTCATTATTCCTTGAATTGACCAACTTGACGAAATTGGAGGATTTGGCACATTTACGCGTAAGCTAAATGAAATTTTCAAGTAATTCAAAAATTAAAAAATTAATGTACAAAATATTTTTAAATTAATTATAGATGGGCACGATGGCTTCTTTACATGCATCAGCCGCCAACTCTTTGGCTGGTTCCCGTCCAACTACACCGCACAGCACCGTATCTACTATGCCTGTGGGTTAAAATGCACTCAAAACATATTTAACAACGAAAATATTTTTTCTACTTTTCCACAACGCATCATGACTATATCAGTGCAAATGTATACCGTCCAAAATTCTTAGATTTACATATACATATAGATTTTTTACACAACATTTATGACACGAATCTCAGCATTCCACATGTATTCATTTTTTTTTTTTAAATATATATACTTAAAATATAAGCTAGAAGCTCGAAATATAATAGCATAAGTGTATTAAGAAGTTGTAATTTAAAAACAGTGCCTTAGAACTTCTACATATCTGTTATATACAATTTATACAAGAAAAAAAACTTGTTTGCAATTAAAAATCAATTTGTATGCAAATTTATTAAATTTTAAACTTAAAGTGTTAAATAATTTTTCTACCATATTAATAAGCAAACAAACATCATTTCACAGATTTGTAAACTGGCAAAGTATTTATGAAATATAAGCAAAATTTAATTGTCCAAGCAACAATGAATGTTTTTTTGTAATAAATTTGTAAAATTTATAAAGTCTAATTTTTATATAATATACCTAATACCAACTGAACTGCATCTAATAATATCCACGGTTATTGACAAACTGCGATTTACAATAAGAAGTACCTCTTGTAATCTGGGACTTGTATGCAAATATTTGTGAACAATAACGGAACTGATTGTCAATAACAGCTGATAAGCTAACATTCAAAATACATACAATAAAAATATTAAACAGTTGAAGGAATGCTAACGAAAATTGCAAAAAATAAATCGGTTCTCGGTGTTAAGGACTAGCATATTAGCAGCAATACAAAAAGCAACTTAGAGATTATAAGCAAACAAAAAATGCACATAATTTTATTAGAAACAGTGCCATACAGTCAACTGTATTATTCCAACATTAAAAAAGAGCACTTAATATATTTTAAAAAAAGAATAAACGTTAACTGCAGTTGCATCGAAGCTATAATGCCCTTCACCTTCACACATACAAAAACAAGATATTGGACAGCCAGTTTGTATGGCAGTTGTTGTTGTTGTTGTAGCGGCAGAATTCTGCCGAGTTGACAGTCCTTGGCCGGAAAAAATCCGGGTCCGTTCCGGTTGCGTAGACCCGACTGTCGTGGCAGTAATATGCTATGGTGCTCCGACTACAGTTCCGACAAATGGGCAACTTCTTGAACGTATGCAAAATTTCTGATCGATATCTCGAAAACTGAGGTACCATTCTATGCAGAGAGACGAACGGATATGGCTAAATTAACTCAGCTCGTTACGCTGATTTTATATATATGTATATATATTTTTATAGTCTCTGAAGTGGATTTACAACCTTCGTGGCTAACTTATTATACCCTGTTCTGGGTATAAAATCATACAACAGTAAATTTTCAAGACACACAACAAACAAAACAAACGTTATTCCAACACATAAGAAGCACTTTTAACGGTAATTGATGATTTTTTATTAGAATTTAATATGGTTTTACACTAAACTATACGCGAAATATAAACAAATTGTACGAATTGCTGTGGACTATAACAAATATTAATGGAATTGTGTACATTTTTATAAGAAAATTAAAGAAAATAAATTCTTACATTAAATTAAACGCGACGGCAAATGTAGGACCAGAGGTACAACACTTACTTCACTTTATGCGGTGGATGGGTTCTTAAGCAACATATTCATATGAAATTTCAGTGACATTTACTTCAAATACATAACTGCAAAATACCGAATTTAAAAAATAAAGCATAATATTGCTCTTTGTTTTCGATACACAATTGCACTTATGGTTATGTTATGGTTTTGTGGTAGAAATCACTGTTACTTCGCACAAATATTTTTCGAAAGTCACACAAATGTCTAGCTATTTCAAATTTACAATTCAAAACTGCTTGCAATTATAACATTTTTCTTCATTCTCTTTCACTAAAACTAAACATAACTTTACTTCTGCATTTTAGAGCGCATTCAATGTCATTTAGCCATGATTAATTCATTGTTTTCGCTGGCATTCACTTTGGCCAAATCGTCGACCAGCGTGTCGAGCAGTGCTCGCAGCTCTTGTTGTGCAAATTCCTGTGGCAAAGGTAGACGTTCCAACGCAATCTTTATAATCAAACATGGATTCAACACGGGACAGACGAGCAGTACGCCGCGCACAAGACAAGCAAGATTTTGCGCGATCTCACTTTGACATAGACGATGTTTGGCCGTGGGACAGGGCAAGAGATTTATGCGAGAACATAAATCGGCCAATTGTGGTTTTAAATTCTCCCAACGTGCCTCGATATCTGCCTCGGTCTTTAGCGATTTCAAATTCTTGAACTGCGTAGGAATGACAAGACCGCAATAATTGTGTAAAATGAAAATTTTAAAAAATTATGTGAACTTACCTTCTCATTAATATCGATAAAATCTAAAAAGATTTGTCCCTGATTAGACCAATTCGGTACTTTTATGGTTTTAGTTGCCTCGGCACCCTCAAACTGGCTCAACAAATCATGTAAGTAGTCGAGGTTGTCTGTGTGTGAAAAGAAAAAATTAACTGTTAGCTAAATGTATACCAAACTAAGTGCTCCCGCACCTACCATTGATAATTGCATCGGGTGCGAGATGTTGGAAGATGACTTCATGCGCCAAAGCCCATTGGTTGGCCTTCAGCAAATATTTTGCCTGCAATTGATAATTGCCAATAGCGCCCGCTTTCACGGCCTTAGCGTAATCAATCCATTTTTCTGGCACGCCCAAATTATTGATAACGAATTTCTCCTTCTCCGACAGCGCGACATCTTTTGAAACACTCACATAACGGTAAAGTACATTCTGTACAGACAATTCACGTTGATTGCGATCCTTTATATGCAGCAGCACGAAAATGGCCCACTCCCAGAGATCATTACACTCCAATTGACTGGCGAAGCCAACATGCAATTGACTTTCGCTTAGCTCGGAACAGTGGCGATAACCAATGGCCTCCAACGTTTGCAGCAGTAACCAACTGAAAGCAAAAAATATCAAAAAAAAAAAAAAAAAAATTGTAAAATAATTT